TGGGGAATTTATTCTCATAATGCTGTTTGATTGTCATATCACAGATTTGTATTTTTTAAAGAAAGGAGTTTGGGCCGGGCACGATGACTCATACCTGGAATCCCAGCACTTTGGGAAGCTGAGGCGGGCAGATGACCTGAGGTTGGAAGTTCGAGACCAGCCTGACCAACATGGAGAAACCCCATCTCTACTAAAAATACAAAATTAGCCAGGCCTGGTGGTGTATGCCTGTAATCCCAGCTACTCGGGAGGCTGAGGCAGGAGAATCGCTTGAACCTGGGAGGCAGATCGCGCCACAGAACCAGTGAGCCAAGATCGCGACACTGCACTCCAGCCTGGGCAACAAGAGCAAAACTCCATCTCAAAAAAAAAAAGAAAGAAAGGAATTTGTTTTCTGCAATGAGTTAGGCACCCAGGGAACATGTTTTCACTCTGCATCAAAGATGTTATGTTCCCTATAGTGAACATACTATGGACAGATATAACAATAGTTAATGGAAGGGAGTCAGATATTGGATGGAAATGGTGTTCTTACTTCCTACAACTTGTTATGTTGCCCATTTGGTTCAAGTTAGAATCTACTCTGCAAGAATCTGACAGGGCTTTTCTTGAATAGATTTTGTGTTGTTTACTTACTTCAGTCTCTCCAAATGGCAACTGTGAAGCCCCTAGAAAAATTAGGATCTAGGTGAAACCAGTGTTTAAAGAGTTTGTTTGTTTAATGATTAGCTTTCTGAGATAATCATTCTCATTCATTCATCAATTCAACAAATATTTATTGAGCTTCTATTACATGTCAGGCATTGTTGTAGATATTGAGGGGCAGAAGTGAACAAAAGTGGGCCAAGCCTTTGTCCTCATGAAGCTTGCATTCTAGCAATTTCTTGGAATAACTCATAGAATTAAAATGGCCACCCAGGAGCATGTGATGACAAGGATGATGGCTGACAAGCTTTCAGGAAGTCTTTCACAATCCTCCAGGATCTTCCCAGCCAAGCGAAGTACCTTCCTCTGTGCTCCAAGGACACCCTGAATGTATCTTAGCTGCTTGGGACAGCTCTTATTTTAACCTATTGTGTTTGTATCCCAGCTCTGCCACTCACCATCTGTGAAACCTTGAGCCAGGTACTCACCCTTCTGAGCTTAATCACAGTAACGAGTCCTTACTGATAACCTAATTTTGCCAGGCAATCTGCTAAAGTGTTTTACATAAATAATTTCATTTGGTCCTCCCACCAACCCTACAACGTAGATCCCATTACTATAACTCTTTTACTAATAAGAAAACGGAAGCCCAGCAAGGTTAAGTAACCTACTCAAGATCAGTCATGTGAGTAGTGAGTGCCAGACCCCAGCAAGTCTGCCAGGAACACGGTAAAGACCCAGTGAATATCATCCTCATCAGGGCTGGAACTAGGGTGAAGCAAGTGAGGTGAGTGGTTCAAGTACCAGTTCAGATCTTGTCTTTATTTGGAATTTTGTTGTTGTGTTCATTATGGATTTTTTGCATTTTATTTTTATTTTGTTAAATATTGCATTAAAATATTTATCTTGATAAGTAAATTTTTTGGCACCCACTTCAATTTTGTGCCCCAAGCAAGTGCCTCTCTCAGCTCACTCTAGTCCCAGTATTATTATTCTCATTAATATTACATTTAAAGAGGGAATTATCTATTTATTTGTTGGTAGCCCTGGCTAAACTCAGAGACATTTGAAAGAAACCCCCAATTATCCTGTGACCATAAAGCCTAAAAAGACTTGGTACAGAGTAGATGCTCAATAAATACTTGTTAGACTTCATAATAATTTGAAAAAAAGATGAATTTCTATGTAGTGAGAGGAGAAAACTGGGCAAACTGTTAGATCTCCATTAGTCCAGTTAGTCCACTGTGTATTATTGTTGGCAGTAATAGTATTAATATTGTTTACAAATTAACCATAGTTTCAGGTATTGAGTATCTAACAGGGCCAAATGTTTAGTGCACCTTATCTCAATTTCTCACTACAAAGCTGGAAACTGAGGCTCAGCAATGTGATGTGAAGTCACTCACCCAAGATCACACAGCTAATAAGTGACAGTCAGCATTAAGCCCAGGTCAACGCAGGTCCAAACCTGGGCTCTTTCCACTCCACCACTTCCCTTTCTATTTCACTTCACAGTCAGTGATGGTAATGTTGTAGAAAAAACTGGGTTCTTGTCACACGACCAGGAAAGATTAGGCAAGCAGACACTTTGAAGAGTGAGAGGTTATGGAATTTATTGGGCAAAAAGGAAAAAGACTCTCAGCAAAGCAAAAGAAGTTCCTGTTAACAGGCCCCCATCTCACAGATTGAATCCCAGGTTCCCACGTGGGAACAGAAGGGGCCAGGCTCCTCCCTACTGCAAACAGCACAAACTTCCCGAGGCCTCACCCATCCTCCCAGTGCACAGGCCAGTTGGAGATTATCCAGGGAGCCCTTTTTACTTGGCTTTGTCAGTAATATGAAAAAGGCACGACCACTGGTCATGAAGAATGGAATGGGTCAAGTGAAGAAGATAAGAAAGTTATATGAAGAAAAGAAATGTATACACTTGCCCACCCAAAGCAGAAGGCGTTCCTGAACCCTTCTATGTAATTGGGCTATGCTATCTCGCCAGCTGCTGTAAGGTTGTCTTGGAGATTCTTCCATGCTCTATGTAGTATGGCCTAGTATGGCCTTGACCTGCATCATTTTGAAAGGATAGATCCAGGACCTGTCTTTGTGTCTCTAATACAGAAGTGAGCTATACATTTGTCTTCCTGACCTGTCTCCTTTCAAGTAATTTTAGTAGTTAGTCTGACCCATTGGCAAGAAATCCACACAGTTGGTCAGTTGGTGATGAGCACCCCAGACCAGACACAGTGGAGCCAGTTGTTCTCAACCTCTTGTCCTTTGTCCCCCAGTACAGCAGGTCAGCACTGTTTCTGAGATCCTGGTCTGATTTCTACCATAAATTATATGTCATGGTGGTATTTTCCAAAGTGTAGTTTTTGAAACATCAGTACTATGTGGAATTTTGTGGTGAAATAAGGTTAAACAGGCTTTTCTACCTCCATATTTCTCAGAGACTTCAACGGTTAATATGGATGGGGTCTCCAAGAGAGGTATATTAAGGGCAGCATTTCTCAAACCTACTTGGCCAGGAACATCTTCACATGGAGCACCTCTTAAGACTAGCATTTTGAGAGATGCACTTTGGGAAATGGTGTGTTAGGATCTTTTAAATATTCTCTCATTAGCAAGTGCCAAGAGGATGAAAACTTGGGAAGTGATTCTTAAATCAAAATGGTGATGTCCTCTTTTTTTCCTTTTCTCACTAAAAATGAAAATCATCTAACTAAAATATTCTTTTCTTGTCTTTTCCATATCTATACATCTCCAAATGAATATCCATGGCTGTACGTGTGAGTTGTAAACCAAAAAGTGTCTGTGACAGGTCTCAATCAATTTAGAAGTTTATTTTGCCAAGGTTAAGGACATGCCCATGACATAGACTCAGGAAGTCCTGAGAACATATGCCCAAGGTGGTTGGACTACAGCTTGGTTTTATATGTTTTAGGAAGACATAAGACATCAATCAGTACATGTATGATGTATGTTGGTTCAGTCAGGAAAGGCGGAACAACTTGAAGGAGGGAGTGGCTTCCGGGTCATAGGTGGATTCAAAGATTTCCTGATGGGCAGTTAGTTGAAAGGGTTTATCTAAAGACCTGGTATCAATAGAAGGGAGTGTCTGGGTTAAGATAAGGGGCTGTGGAGACAAATGTTTTTGTTATGCAGATGAAGCCTCCAGGTAGCAGCCTTCAAAGAGAATAAATTGTAAATGTTTCTTATCAGACTTTAAAAGTGCTCTTACTTAATTCTCTTCTGGATTAGGAAAAAGACCTGGAAAGGGAAGGGGATTCTCTACAGAATGTAGATTTTTCTCCACAAGAGACAGCTTTGTAAGGCCATTTCAAAATATGTCAAATAAATCTATTCTGGGATAAAATACTTTGATTTCTTTTAGGGCCTGTTATCTGTCATGTTGGTATCTCATTGCTACAAAGAGTCTGCTTTGTCAGTCTTAAGGTCTCTGTTTTAATGTTAATGCTGGTCAGCTGTATCTGAATTGCAAAAGGGAGGAAGGAATAATGAGGCATGTCCAACTCCCACTTCCCATCATGGCCTGAACTAGAGTTTCAGGTTAATTTAGGAATGCCCTTGGCCAAGAGGAGAAGTCCATTTATTTGGTTGGGGGCTTAGAATTTTATTTTCGGTTTACAGGGTCAAGCACTTAAAATGTTGAGACACTATGCTACATGCTTTCCACATGTCATTCATTTAATCCTCACAGTAACTCTGTGAGTTAGCAACTAAAATCCCTGTGTTAGAGATTAGGAAATTGAGACTTAGAGGGTTTAATTAACTTTCCAAAGTTGTACAGCAAGTGAGTTGCTAAGCGAGTGTTTAAACATGGTTACAGACTTCATAGTCTATGCATTTAAGCACTGAAATGGTGAAATAGTTATTTTCTAACCTGGAAAAAAATATATTTATCTTGAATTTACTACCAGGGAGTTTATCTTATCTTGGATCATCATACAGCTCAATTCTTTGTTGGATGATAAAAGAACATTCTAGAGTTGTTCCCACTTTTTATTTGTCCTTGCCTCCCTTCTCTGACTTTCAGTAAGTGTCCCAAGGGCTTCAGAGCACATAATCCTAAATGCCGCACCACATTGTTTTCTGTTTTATGGCTCTATAATCTCCTCTGTTGTAAATACATTCAGAAATGATTGTGGCTTTTCCTTGAAGCCTCAACATTTTTTAGAAAGTGATTTATTTTGATAGTGCTTTAGCCTCATGATTTCAAATATTAAGTTACTCGGTTCAGGTGGTCTTATGTTTTTCCCATAAATGTATTTATGTCACCCCACAGACTGGGAAATCTCATTCCAGTTTTTTTTTCTTTCTTTCTTCATTTGATTTTCCTGCAGGAGGAGAACTGAATTCTTTGAACTTGTCAGTAAAGGAGAATACGATTGGAACATCAAAAACCATCGTGATGTATTTCGGTAAGAAAAAGCTCTTATTTATGTGTTTCTTCATTATTTGGACATTTAGCCATGCTTTTCTGACAGTGCTAAGAGCATAGAAGTGACTTTTAAAGTAACAAATCTTAGCTTACATTCAAAACATTCAGAGATCAGTTGGATAACTAGAGAAATTACTGAGAATGTCTTTTCATCTTATAATGTATTATATTTTTGTCTCTTCTCCAAAAACTCTGCCATCAAATTTAGAAAATGAAGTTCAAATTAGTTCAGTTTTGGCAAGCCACGATTTCTTCTGTTTTCTGGGGAAGCTGGGGTGCAAGTTGGGTGGAGAAGGGATTTTTGTACCCTAGAAATCAGAGTTACATAGCACAAAGGAAGTGGGGAGTAACTTTTGCTTTTCTTTAGCGACAATAGACCAATCAGAACAATATTGGAGGTGGAGATAAGAAGTCTGTTCTAGCCTTTGCCTGGGACATCTTCCAAGTTGTTTAGAAAGGACAGTAGCAACACACTGTGTGTATGGGGCAGATTTTAACCTCTCTTGCAGCCACTCCAGAGATTGGGCACCATTCCTCTTTCTCTCCTACCCCATTCTTCCACTCTCTCCACCTCACCCACCCCAGACCTCCTACTGTCTTATTCCTGTTCTAACATTGCTAAGTTTTGCTGAGAGAGCTCATGAGGCCAGGGTTAGGGCACACTGGGTCTGCTCCACAACCAGGCAACTAATGGATTACCCCAAGCGGAAACCTTGACATAGTCCTGCCATATCTGCTATATAAAATCTCTGGCACCATATTCTGAACACAGGCCACTGCCTGCCCCACCCTCTGTAGCTGTCCTCATATCACCTTCCTGCAGCCCTCTCCCCAGAGGGCTCTAGTTTTTTCCTCTATACTTTAATATTCCTCTGTATTATCTTTACAGACCTTTTTCTTCATTTTTCATCTTCAAGACCAGCCCCTCCACTGGTGCCCTAATTCTATTCCCTCCACCTCCCCACCCCCCACCCGCCACCGCAACCTGGCTCTATCAATCATGCTCCTTTGGCTTCCATTTTCAAAATCTATTTTATTCATCATGACCTTTCTAAATCTAAAAACACACTTCTGCCTCCCCAGTCAAAAAGTCATCCCTACAGGCTGCCTTTTCTCCAGGTCCCATCATAGTTTTCTCCTTCCCTTCACTCCCACACTTCACTCCACACTTCCTAATTTCTTGCAAGGCAATTTCTTTCTTTTTGTATAATTTTTAATTCCATGAGTAATTACATGAGTATATATTTTCTGTAACAAATCAAAACATTGCTAATAAGCCCTCAGATCTCCTTTGAGCTCAACCCCCAGTTCCCATACTGGTTGCACAGCTGTAGTTTGTTAATTGTATATTGTGTTTTTCCACACCATTTCCAAAGCACTTACATACATATGTACCCTTAGGAAAAATACTGTTTAGTGTGTATTTTGATTGTCTATTTTAACATAAATTATATATTTATATACCAATGTGAACCTGGTTTTCCACTCAACTACATGGTTTGGAATTCTTTACGTGTTTTTACCTCATCGTCTTTTATCATTGCACAGTATTCCAAAATACAGATACAACACAGAATATTTACCCATTCCTTACTGAGGAATTAAGTCTGTACTATGTGATTTCTGCTTCTGTTGAACCACAGTCACCTTCCAAGTATTAAATGCTGCAATCTTTGTTCTCTTCAGCTTCCTGATCTCTTTATAGCCCCTAATTGAGTTGGCCTCTCTTTTCTTAAAACCCTCTCCAGTCTTGGATTCTGCAAAGCTATATATGCTTCTGGATTCTCTTTCTTTCTGACTCTTTCCTTCTTAGTCTTTTTCTAGCCCTAAACAGAACTGTCCCCCAGGGATGTATTTTTTATTCTCTTTTTCCTCAGCATCCTTCTAGTGTCACTACTATCTCTTCTCAAATGACTGCCAGCCCTTTTCTTGGGCTTAGCCTCTCTTCTGAGCTCTTTTCCTGAAATGCCAGTTCTCATTCAGTTTCTCTACTTAGATATTTTCCTACAGAGATTTTCAAACTTTTTTGACAAGGAACCCCATGTGGAAGAAATATCTTATTTGGAAGCATGGTACATAAAATGGAGGTGCTCCAGGTTCTCCCCTCTCCCCTCATCTGCCCTCCCTCCCCCATTTCATGGTTACGCTCTGACCACCTTGCACCAAGGGTGGTGCTCTAAGGGAGCACCATCTGTAGAGAATTTTAAAATAGTAATAAAACCAACTAAAAGTCAGTCTGCTTTTTATTATCACCATGTGCCAGCAATTCTAAATAGTCAATGGTGAGACATACCTCCTAAGAAATGTCTTTTGTTGGTTTAAATTCGAAACAATTGCTGAGGTTACTGTTAAGATAAAAAATAATTGATATGAAAGCTTCAGATCAGCACATTTATTATTTATCCTTTATTTGCACACGTAACATAAGTTAATTCTAAGAATGCCCAGGCATACAGCTGGCTCCTGACGTAGGTGGATGCAGCTACACACTTTCAATAGTAAGTTCCTAACTGTTCAGAACCTCTCAAACTCTCTGGCTGTCGTTTGTGTTTCCAACCTTGCAGAACTATATTCCTGCTTTTAAAGACTATATTCAGAATAAACAATGATAGCACAGTGATGGTAAATATGAAGACACATAACTTGAGATACTTTCATTCTGTCATTTTATGTGATCATTCATGGTTTTTATTCATGTTTAAAATTTAAAACAGTGAAAGTGCAAACTGCAAAGTGTCGTATTTTTGTTTGGCAAGTACAAATTTCAGTCTGTACACAAAATCTTTTTACTCAATTTGAATACATCTTTAACATTAAAATTTGTTGATTTTAAATTGTTTTACAACTACAGAACAAGAAGATAATGATTGTCACAAGATGATTATTGAAATAATTTTGGCATATAGAGGAGAGGTATGTTAACTCACTGTAAATTGAACTAGAATTATAGGGACCTCAGTCTAAAACAGTTGGTAGAAACTCTCTCCCTGGTCTCTTACTCTCAAAAAGATCCTTCACTTCTTGAAGAGCCTTAATCTAAAAAATAAGATAGAACTGCTCATTTGTTCTCTTCAGTTCTTCCTTTGCAATCTTCCATCCCTGTATCTCCTGCAGTCTTCCTTTCCATTCTCCCTTCCTTCCTTTTAGGCTTTTGTCAATTTATGTCTCCAATGAGTCTCCCTCCTTCCACCCTCTTCTTCTTCAAACCATCCTCACATCCACCACCTAAAGTTTCCTCCCTAAAGGTCTGTCCAGGTCCCTTGTGAGTCCCCAGCCTTAGCTGACTCTCCAGTGCCAGACGGACAAAGGTTGCAGCCACTCCACCCGTCCTACCTCTCAGCCTCTCCTGTGTCCCTTCTCTGTGTGGACTTCCTGCTCCCCTGTATTCATTGAAGTAGAGATTCTTCTGTCAGACAAAGGATTCCAATCCTAGCTTTGACACTTCCTAACTGTACAACTTTGGGCAAGTTACCTAACCTTTCTGAGCCTTATTTTTTTTTTATCTGTAAATAAGAGATAATAGTATTGCTACCACATATAGAGACTGAGTCAATCACCTTGTGGAGGCTTCCCAATAAGTGGTAGCTATTAGAATTATCATCTGAGCACCTAGCAGATACTCAATAAACTTGTTGATCAACTGATATGCATTTGAGGAGTAAGTTTCAAATTATCAATTGGACAGAACCTAAGTAATTATCCACATTGTGATACAAATAGGCAAACCTCACAGAGATTACTTGCTCTGCAGGAGAGAGGCTGAGAAATCCCATGCTTTAGCCAGTCTTGTCCCCCTCCAGTTCTGACAGCATCCATGTGTAGCAAGAGGGCATCTGGTAGCTTTGTGATAGGCACAGAATCCTGAATCCTTTACTCGCCTTGGGAAGGTAAAGTGACTTCATCTCTGCGTGCTTCTGTTACTTATCCGTAAAATAAGGATAATAGCAACTACCTCGGGGGTGGTGACGACAAGTAGTTTAGTTAGCAGTTGGTTAGTAAAGCACTTAGTACAGAGGCGGACACACAGTAAGCAGTGTAGAAATGCCCAATACAGAAGGTCAAAAATGAATAGGCTGATGTGTCTCCCTTTGCGTAGCGCTTAACACAGGGATGTTTGGAATTAGAGGTTTCATCAGTGCTGCTTGGGTCCAGAGGGCTGCTGATGCCGGTGCCGCCTGGTTGTGACTTGAATGACCTATTGTTATGTGTGACCCTGCCTTGTTCCCCGGAGGGGTTTCCTGTGGGGGGATCCCCCTGCCATCTAAGCATGCTCTGCCATCTGGGCAGCAGACATGTTTCCAAGGCATTAGATCTGGCAGGGTATGAAATGTTAACACCCGACATCGGGACAGCCCTCTGACCTTTGGCTGCGTACCCCTTTCTTCCAAAAGCAGTTAGCCAAGATGTGGTTCCCCAGCTCAAATCCTATGTTACTTTTCATCACATTCTGCTGGTTTTCAGCACAAAGAAAGCGGATTTGGGACAGAGTGTGCCTTATTTTTCCTCCTCCCACCACATTAAATTATATATAAGCACCAGAGCTATCTACAATTTGAATTGTTCCCCGTGTTTCCATGGTTCAGTGTGAATTATAGTTAACCCTGCCCCTCAGAACTCTGATTCAGACCATTCCTGTGCTTTCTTATGTGCCCAAATTAATGAAAGCTGGAGCTGAGTATGTTTCTTCTTCATAATGCTTGTAAACCATGGTTGGAGCCAGGTAGTAAACTGGAGTGAAACGATATGGCTCCTGCCCATAAATCTTAGCTCTATAGAGCAGATGAAAATGAAGGAGCCCCTTATGTGGCATGTGCCTTGCCTCTTTGGTGTGGGTTTTCTTTCGTTCCCATCAATTAATGATAAGTTGGTAAGTAGTTTCATCAGCCATGTATATAGTGTTATATACTGATTCTCTTGCTTATAGTTTAAAAAAAAGAACAACATTGTCCATTCTAAATTATTTTAAGCAGAGCTTGCTTAGCTCAGGTGTAGAGAAAGTAGTGCTTTGCTTTCCTTGATTTGCTGCAGACAAAACAAAAGGGCCACCGGAGGATGTGTGAGAGCTTTGTCTTCCTAAGCAGCGTGGCCACGTGATGGAGATGCGGAACACAGGCACTGTAAACAGTGCTGCCCCTTGTTGAAGAAAGGAAGATGTGAGCTGGCCTCGTTTCCATTTTATTTTATTTATTTATGTATCTAGGACGGGTTTGTTTAGGAATGCAACAAAAGATTATTCAGGCTGTTTTGTTTGGTTCTGTTTTTCAGATCAATGTTAATGACAGCCTGTGACCTTGGAGCCGTGACCAAACCGTGGGAGATCTCGAGACAGGCAAGTGGTGATTAATGGCAGGGCTCAGCAGAGGAGGGACTGGGGGGGCGGTAAGGGGGACACAATATTCCCAGAGCCCAGACTACCAGGCACTGAAACCCTAGTCAATTTGCATCAGTATTAACATGGTGTAAAAAATAGCAGGAGGCTTAGGCACGACATAGTTTACCGCACAGCCTTTTTTTTTTTTTATCGTGCTTTCACTAAGCAATAATATTTCCAACCCTGTAAGATATTTTTAATGTGCTAAATCTGAATAATACATTGACCATTAAGGCAAGAGTTTCAAAGATAGGATTTTTGGCAAGATAATCATGTCTTAGCACAAGGTCTTGTTTTTTTATATCTGAAAATAAAAGGAGGCAAAAAGGAAATGATATTTTTCTTTTTAAATATTATTTAGATATCAGAAAGCTCTGTGGTCAAAATATGCAGTATCCAATTTAATTTGCAGAAAAACAAACCATGCTTTTACCACCTATCTGATTTCTCTGCCACAAAGCATTAGTTCTATAAGAACAGTTTTCAATTTAAGTAACTACCCAACTTAAGATCGTGGATTGCTGATAGTATTTAGAGGTTAATCATTATGTACGTTTTATTATGCACCTACTGTGTGAGGTCGAAAACAGTAACTTGGCATCTAAAGACTTCACATTTTAGGGAAAATAAGATACATTTCCATATCAATAAATAACTAATATTTATTGATTGTTTTATGTATATTATCTCATTTAATCCTTAAAATTGTACTCAGCTGAATAATGGCCACCCAAAGGTATCAGGTCCTAATCCCTGGAACCTGTAAATATTACCTTCAAAAGAAAGAGTATCCTTGCAAATATGATTAAGAATCTCAACTGCAGACTGATCTTGGATTATCCAGGTGTGCCCTAAATCCAATAACAAGTGTCCTTATAAGAGGGAGCAGGGGAAAATTACACATTCAGAAGAGAAGGCAATGTGAAAACAAGGCAGAGATTGCAGTGATGCAGCCATGAGCAAAGGAAAACTGGAAGAGGCAAGGAACGGATTCTCTCCAAGAGCCTCCAGAGGGAGCACATCCCTGCTGACACCTCGATTTCTGCCCGGTGAACTGATGTAGAACTCCCGGCCTCCAGAACTATGAGTGAATACACTCCTGTCGTTTTGGCCACTAACTTTGTGGTAATTTACAGCAGCCTTAGGAAACTAATATAGTTATTATCCCCATTTCACAAATGGGAAAAATGAGACTTAGGATAAGCAGCCTGAGTTTATACAGCTTGTAGGTGGTGGAGCTAGGTATAGATTCTAGCAGGTTAGGCTCCAAAGCTTTCATTCTTAGCAGTGTTTTATGGTTTCCTTCACATATGCATCAGTCAGCATTTTTAAATGATGCAAGTGTATCCACAGAATAGGCTATGTTACCATTTTACCAAAAATCTCAGTGGCTTTAAACAACAAATTGCTCACAAACATGGGCACCTAAGGTTGGCAGGTGCCACTTTGTCCTTATTCTGTATTGGGGCTGAAGGAACAGCCACTACCTAGATTACTCTGACAGAGGCCCTGGAAGGTCTTGCACTGGCAATTAAATTCTCCCCGCAACAATTCATGAGCCAGAACTTGTCACATGACCCCACCCAACCAGGAAGTACCATCCTTCTATTTGCTCAGAAAGGAGAAAGCCAGAAATAGTGAGCGTGTGACTACCAGAGTTTGCCCTTCTCATCACCAAAAATGTGATTCATTCTCCCTCCAGCAGACAAAATATACCCATCCTTCCTCCAAGAAAGATAACCCAAATGTCCCATCAGTCATGGCATCAAACTCTTAAGTCCAGGATCTCTGGGCGATACATGCTAGTCTCTACAACAGATCTGGATACAGGTTAAAGACCTACACACACCCAAAATACAGCATCCAACATACACCGAAAAGACAAAATATCCATTATAACACTCCTGTTCAGAAAGGGAAGAGATGAGTGATATTCATAGCAATGTGGAGTGGTGAGTGGTCCATGGCAACTCTAGAATTCCGCTGGGTACTCACTGTGAGGGTGCCCTACCATGCAGGGGACCCTGATTCTCTGAGAGATGCTCTCCAGTTCCTTTTTCCCTCGACCTTTCAATCCTCCCTGGGAAATTATTCCTTTCCCATCACGCTTCTTAGCTTTATCTGGAGGTCAAACTGCCTTCTTCTCACCTAAAGAAGGTTGAAGTTCCAATACCTGTTTTGTGTAATCATGGGCTTAGGGTTTCTTTAGCACTAAAACTCTCTTGTACGTTTAGTCAGCTTTTTAAGTCTTTGATTCTAGTCCTTTCCATTTGCCCATAACCACATCCACATTCCATACAAACATCCCAGATTTTCTGTATTTATTTGCTTCTTTACATTTAGGAATAAAGAAATATGGCAAATATATTTATTCATTTCTGACTTAATTCCTAGTGCCTTGGGCCTAACAGCCTTCAGTGAGAGAACCGTATAGGTAAATCATTTCGTTGTGCCATTTTTGTCCAGTTAAAAGGATATGCTGCAAACTATAAATTCCTTCAGAATCTAACCCTAGGTGTTTTGGCAGTACCTTTGATTTGATTCTTGTTACAAAGCTGAGTCTTAATCAAACTTCGTCAAAGTGTATCATAATTTTCATTTTCACAGTTTGGAATTGAGAAGTAATTTTGTCTTCCATCCCTACAAGTCCCTGAATTTGTGACTGTTTCTATTCCCTTTCATTCCTGGTTATAAGCCCGTTCCTCCTTTTCTAAACTCACTTCCTGTGATTCCTAGCAAAACAGTCAATGGCAATCATCACATTTTATGTACATTTTGTTTTCTAATCTCATCTCCCAAGACTGTAAGTTTATTCAGAACATTGTTAGCTTTTAGTTATAATTGTACAAATTATTTTGCCATGGATTCTCATCCTTATAGCCTCCTCATTATCTTCATACCTGGCCCCCAAGCTGATGACACATGTTTTAGGGTCTTTTTCTCTCTTTCTCTTCTTTTCTCTTTTAATAGCAACACCTCACTTCCGTACCAATTTTTGTATTAGTCAAGGATAGGCTAGGCCTTGGTTCAGTAACAAATACATTCTGAAATTTCAGTCGTTCAACACAAATAAAGGCTTATTTCTTGCTCACACTGTCCAATGTAGATCAGGCAGTTTTCCTATAGAGTATTCCACAATTGTGCTTTGGTTTAAATTTCAGTGTGACATATTTGAAGTTACAAAAAGTCACAGAAAGCAGGATAATTGTGAAGAATTTGCGTGGTTGACTAGCTTCTTTCCGCATCTCTGCCCACTGTTCATCTTACCCCCTCCCCTTTCCCATACGGGAAGGTCTCCCTTCTGGGAGAGTTGGTGAGTAGACTGCAGGGAAGAGGTAGGAGGCTCTTCCAGGTATTGGGGAAAAGTGTAGTACTCGGGGAGGCTCCTGTAATAGGGATGGAAGGAGGTGGAGAGTGTGAGGAAGTTAGGAGGACTGAGAGAAAACTAGAGAAGACCAGAAAGGGAATGGGGTGAGGTATGATGTGCCAGCACCTTCAGAAACCCCAGTAAAAAGCATGTCAAGAACTCAAGGAGCAGTAGCCCCAGGGGACAGGAAAGTGACAGGGCAAAGTACTTGCAAGGAAAAAAATTTCTGCCTTGATATTTTAGGCCAACCTGGGAGGCCCAATAGCTGCTTGTAGGTGGTCTTCTCAGTCACTAGTGTAAATATTATTTTATTTTCTGGATGTGAGCTTCTGTTGAAAAGTGCAGAAACGTAAGAGTTCAGGGAAATAAAACACAAAACCATGTATTTCCTAATGTTTCTATCAGAAAGCTTGTCGCAGTTCTAAGCTAGCAATCTCATTCTTGTTTGTCTCCAAATTGATGGGTTAATTTTTTTTTTTTTAATGCTCACTTCAAAATTTTAGGAAACATTTGGAGAAAACAATAGGCCTTTCTTTAAAAAATATTTCTCTAACTTCCTGGATGTTGATTTTTAAAAATTCCCTTTCAAAATGTTTTCTGCTGGGGTCTATTCTACTTTCCCTTCCTGCAAACAAGATTAAGCATGTGGGTTTCCCCAGTGATTCCCCCAAGGCCTGATTAGCATCTCAATTTCCTTCTTTAATAAAAAATTCAATCAGGAACCACTTAATGTTCCTGATTGGGTTTTTAAGTACAAACAAAGCAGTTGTGCAAGTTAAGCTGTGAAAGGAGCATAGGGGAGATACCAACAACTACTTGAGAAAGAGCAAGGACAGAATTTTGTTTTAATTTCTTTTCTTTTCAGGGGCTACAGACCCATGCAGGACTCCCACCTTGAGGTGCCTGATGTGCACATTTACATTCTTTAATGCAAAAGACCTAGCTTAGAGCAATCTGAGGGAGAGTTCTGGGAACTGAATAAATGAGGTCATACCCTTAGGGGACCATTTCCTCTTCAAAGGAAGGCCAGAGAAAGAAGAGAGAAGCCTGGTGTGCTGAAATGCAGGGTAGCAGGAGAGACTGGAGAGGAGACAAGTGAATTGAGTCCTAGAAAACAGGCACATATACAAGAGATTGGGGTGAAGGGATTTTTCAGTCAGTTCCAACTAGTTTTTTTGTGGTTAAATTCTTGAAAAGGGCCCATGTTTCTTAATAGAAATATTAGAAATCTGAAGTTACTGGATATTTGATTTCTTTATATATGACTGCACACATGCTACTCTCAGATATGTGTGTGCGTGTGTGTGTGTGTGTGAGTTTAGTGTTGTGTTTCAGTTTTTTCCATAATCTGTGACTGACCAAATCTTTTGAGAGATCAACGGAGTTATCTTGATACTATGCACTTCACCAAAATCAAACTGTCTCATCTTTGCCAGATTTAAGAACCTTATCTTCATAAGAACCTGGAATAGAGAAACATTTGTTTGGTATCCATGTCCTCTTGCCATGAAGTTGTCTGGGATTTATTCTACTCTTCCAATATTTTTTAAATCCAGCTAGTTCATCTCAGAAATTTCCTGGATGCACACCATAGTAGCGTTGAAAATAGCCATTCAACATTTAATCTGTTATATCAATTTGCTTCTCACAAGTTATCCTGAGAAGTGAAGGTGTAGAAAAGAAAAAAAAAAAAAAAAAGAAATCTGTTTAGCTTGGCAATAATCAGTAGCTGCTGACCATCCAAGCTAATGGATTAAAAGCAGAAAAATATAAGTCTCTGTTTAAGGTTTAAGGTAGAACAAACGTCCCATTGTCCTTGTACCAACTAGCGCCTACCATAAATTAACACTTTTAGTGCGTAGATCCAGACAGCCTGAAGACCAAGTCACGCTCTTCAAACTATACCGTGACCTACTGTAAAAGTCTGCTATTAACAGTGAATCTAGCATTAGTCCTGCCTCTTGATTGATTGCAACAGTGGGAAGCAGAGGATGTGCCCTGGGGTTATCCCTCCCAGAGTGCATACAGATATTGGTAGGGAGGGAGTTGAGGAGTTTTCGTGTGGCAAGATGAAGCTGGGCTAATATAAAAGTATGCAACAAAATAAAGATTCTACATAGAAACAATCAAAAGTTGGCTAAACTATCATTACATAATATAATAATAATTACACATTATTATTAAATGAATATTTGCTTCACTTTTCTGTATAAGAACTTTTCCTGCTTTGAAGCTGGCAACCTGTTGCCTCAACCCAAATATGGAAGCTGTATAGTGGGAGATTGCCTGTTGACATGCATCTAAAATTACATTGCACAAGTTCTCCTGATTAAATGAATGAAACTGATTTCCAACATGAAAGGTTAATATACTTATTTCCTCATAAGCTTTTTAAATGATTGTCTGTGTTGATGAGGATCACCAAATACATAAGCAAGAAAGAACTTCCGAGTCTCGTGATAAACTACACATAACCATGAATTGAAATATTTGTATGTTTCAGGTGGCAGAACTTGTAACCAGTGAGTTCTTTGAACAAGGAGATCGGGAGAGATTAGAGCTCAAACTCACTCCTTCGGTGAGTTCATCCTTTAATTATCACATATTTACCCTTTTGAATGACATTTTCAAAAACAACTACAAATTACAAGTTGGAAATGGGAAAGACTGAAAATGGGTTTAAGGAAGCACTCCTGAAAGTTTAAAACATTAATTAAACTTAAATGCTAAACACTCTTATTCCCAAGTCTCTGATTAAGAGTGGTGAGCTACTTACTTAACAAGCATTTCCTGCGCACCCACAGTGGGACAAGTAGGCACGAGGGAGGATGAGCAAAGTGGAATTTGAATAATTCAAAGCCCAGTGCTGGCATTTCATGTATGCCTACTTTAGAATAGAAACACTGTGCAGCAAAAATTAAAGGCAGGCTGTCTAGCTTTGAGAAGCTAGATTTTATTTTCCAATTTCCAACTTTCAAAATCCCAAAAACAAATCATTTCAAATCTCTGTTTCTTTTCTTTGTCTGCAAAAGGAAAAAGTTTCACCTGTGGAACTAGGTTCTGGTGATTGGAACGCTATTTATATTGGACTCACCTGCTCAGTTATTACTTAAGAATGTTTACTGTAGGCTCAAGGTGATGCTGTTTTTAAGCATAAGGATACAGAAGACATAACTGCCTCAGTCACCACCTCAAGAGGGGCAGCCTCTTTATTACTAACCAATGATTAGCTAAAAACATAAAACCCAATGACTCTGAGAGTGGTGCAAAGCATTTTAAAGCCTGGCATAGCACAGTAGATTCAATGATACTCAAGGAATGTATCAATTGTCAAGAATGTCTGTTTATGAGAACCCAAATTAACTGAACTTGAACATTTGGAGGTATTTATAAGGTCTTCAAGTTTTAAGACATCATTCTTTGCTGACATTTAAAAACAAGGAAAAGCAAGAGAACTAGCTCCTAGTTTGAATAGTTTCACCTGCTTGAAGTAAGAATGCAGTCTTGCTAATTTTGACTATTCTTAATCAGTTGCTTATGTACAAAAGGTCAGGAGCTACATAGGTTGAAACACACACCAATTATTTTGGTTTTCAAAGCAACATTGACTTAGTTTGTCAAAACATCCCTTTTTTGGTGGTGTCACCAAATTTGGTTATAAAAATAAAAATATTAGCTTGGGATACATACAGTTAATGTATAAAACCTACTATGACCCAAATTCTCTCATCTCTACTTTCAAATAAAAGCTTTTCCCCCTTTAAAAACTGTTTCAGAGGCATACTCTGAAGAGTTTACAATGCAGCAATACCACAGGTCTTTTAATTAAATGAAAAAATATGAGTAAATTGCCAGCACTGGTGAGCTGGCGGGTGCAGTAGTACAGCACTAAGGAGCCTTTATCTGTAGGCTCAGGTAAGGCATTTTCTGCAGACATAAATGAAATTAATTTTGTGGTAGAAACATAGCTCTAAATGCTTCTGTCTTCTCACAAAGACTACGGAGCACCACTGATGACCGTGTCATCAGGGGAGGCCTGGCTGATGTGGCAGGGTTAGCCCTCAGTTCTTTTCCAGAAATATCTGTAAATGCATGCACCCAGAGCTGACACCTGCTGTGCCCATTATCCCTTGATATTTAGGAAGAAAACTGTCCTGGAGCCCTCTCAGGTATCATGGTCCCAGGCGTCATGGGAGTCACTTCATGAAGACAAAGGCTAATGTGGCCCACAGCCAGAGGGTCAGGATTGGAAGTAGTGAGTCAGTCAGGAAAGCCTGCCTGAGTGCCTCCAGGTGTCGGGCATGAAGCAAGGCACTGTGTATCCAGCAATGAGGAAGACATCATCTTCCCTGCCCTCAAGGATCTTGTCAACTGGTGGGAAATATAGACATGAAATAATTACTAATACTAATTTTATGAGATGCAAAATGCTGTGAACCACAGGACTGTGTGGGGCCTCACACTCGTTTTTTTTTTGTTTTGTTTTGTTTTTTTCTCATCAAGCATTGATTAAGAAGTGACTAGTACAAAAATAAACCCCTTAAAATCATGGTCAACTGATCTTGAACATGGGTGCCAAGATAACGTCTTTTCAACAATGGTTCAAGGACAACTGCATATCCACAGGCAAAAGAATGAAGTTGGTTCCCTACCTCTCAGCATACCCTGAAATAAACTCAAAATGGATCATACATCTAAATGTAAGGGCTAAAACTATAAAACTCTTAGAAGAAAATAGGGGTACAAATCTTCCAGATTGGGGTTAACCATGGTGTCTTAAATATGAAACCAAAAGCACAGGAGACAAAAGACAAAATGACCCAGAGATGTTGGTCCAGAGATGTTGATTTGAACTTCATTAAAATTAAATTGAACAGCCAGGCGCAGTGGGCTCACGCCTTTAATGCCAGCGCTTTGGGATGCTGAGGTGGGCTGATCACTTGGGGTCAGAAGTTCAAGGCCAGCCTGGCCAACATGGTGAAACTTTGACTCTACTAAAAATACAAAATTTAGCCAGGTGTGGTGGTGAGCACCTGTAATCCCAGCTACTCAGGAAGCTGAGGCAGGAGAACCATTTGAACCTAGGAGGCAGAGGGTGCAGTGAGCCCAGATTACACCACTGTACTCCAGCCTGGGTGACAGAGTGAGACTCTGTCTCAAAAAAAAAAAAAAATCAAATTGAACTTTATCAAAATTAAAAACTTTCATGGACGAAAGGACACTATCAAGAAAGTAAATTTCCCCATATTATGGGAAAATATTTGCAAATCATACAAAGACAACGCAATTTAAAAGATAGGCAAAGGATCTGAACAGACATATCTCCAAAGAAAATATGTAAATGGCCACAAAGCACATGAAAAGATGCTCAAAATCATTGGTCATCAGGGAAATGCAAACTGAAACCACAATGAGATACCACTTTTGCTAAGATGGCTATAGCAAAAACGACAGACAATAACAAGCATTGGGTGAGGCCGTGGAAAAATTGGAACCCCATACATTGTTAGCAGGAATGCGAAATGATGCAGCTGCTTTGAAAAACAGTTTGTCAATTCCTCAAAAAGTTAAACAGAGTTACCATATGCCTTAGAAATTCTACCTCTAGGTATATCCCCAAGAGAAATGAAAACATACATCCACATAAAAAGTTGTATGTGAATGTTCACAGGTATTATTCATCATATCCTGGAAGCAACTCAAATGTCAATCAACTGATGAACAAATAAATAAAACATCTATACGATGAAATATTATTCGGCAATAAAAATGAATGAAATGCTGATGCATGCTACATGGGTAAACCTTGAAAACAGTGCAAGAGGCCAAGTCACAAAAGACCACATATCATAAGATTCCATTCATATGAAATGTGCAGGATAAGCAAATCCATCAATAGAGAAAATAGATTAGTGGTTGCCTAAGGCTGGGAGTTTGGGAAAAAACGAGAGTGACTGCTAATGGTATGGGGTTTCTTCGAGGATGATAATAATGTTCTATAATTGTAGTGATAGTTGCTTAACTTTGTAAATATACTAAAAACCACTGCATTTTTTTAAAAAAGTAACTTTATAATATCCACTATAAATTGAATAATTAAATAAATATGAAAATTTTATATAGCAAAGAGAAATATAGAGAAAATAAAACCTAATTTTTTTTTTTTTTTTTTTTTTTTTGAGATGGAGTCTTGCTCTGTCGCCCAGGCTGGAGTGCAGTGGCACAATTTCGGCTCACTGCAACCTCTGCCTCCTGGGTTCAAGTTATTCTCCTGCCTTAGCCTTCCAGGTAACTGAGATCATAGGCGCCCATCACCACGCCCAGCTAATTTTTTGCATTTTTAGTAGAAACAGGGTTTCGCCATGTTGGCTAGGTTGGTCTCAAACTCCTGATCTCAAGTGATCCTCCTGCCTTGGCTTCAAAAAGTGCTGGAATTACAGGCATGAACCACCACACCCAGCCCAGAATAATATTTTTTTTTTTTTTTTTTTTTTTTTTTTTTTTTTGAGACGGAGTCTCACGCTGTTGCCCAGGCTGGAGTGCAGTGGCGCGATCTCGGCTCACTGCAAGCTCCGCCTCCTGGGTTCACGCCATTCTCCTGCCTCAGCCTCCTGAGTAGCTAGGACTACAGGCGCCCGCCACCGCGCCCGGCTAACTTTTTGTATTTTTAGTAGAGACGGGGTTTCACTGTGGTCTCGATTTCCTGACCTTGTGATCCGCCCGCCTCGGCCTCCCAAAGTGCTGGGATTACAGGCTTGAGCCACCGCGCCCGGCCAGAATAATATTTTTTAAAGAAATATTTTGTTTATTTATTTATTTATTTTTATTTTATTTTATTTTATTTGAGACAGAGTCTCACTCTGTCACCCAGGCTGAAATGCAATGACACAATCATAGCTCAATACAACCTCAACCTCTTGGGCTTAAGCAATCCTTTCACCTCAGCCTCCTCTCAGGAGGAGACTTGTAGTCACTGAGACTACGTGTGTGCCACCACAGTTGGCTAACTTTTTTTTTTTTTTTGGTAGGGACAGGGGCCTCACTCTGTTGTCCAGGCTGGTCTTGAACTCTTGGGCTCAAGTGATCCTCCCACCTCAACCTCGCAAAGTGCTAGGATTACATGCATGAGCCACCGCACCCAGCTCTAAAGAGACATTTTGGACCAAGACTCATATTATTCACAAGAGCTATCCCTCTCTCCAGCACATTTTCACAATTTTCTCTAAATTCCAGTCTTCTTTCCTGCTATTTCCCATCTCCCATTGCAAGACAAGGATGAGAAGAGCCTGTGGGTATCAGTGACCTTCTCCCCAGTTTGGAGATATTTTCCTCAGATTTGGCAGCTAGTGATTTCTGCCCCACCCACTCCCACTCTTATTCATACATCTGAAGGATACAGGATTTTCCAACACCTCTGGACCAAGGGGATTGCTTGGCTCTGCCCTCATGGCCTATAAGGACACCAAAATGATGTGAATGCCACGTTTTATGTAGAGGAAAGATAAAACTTACTGTATAACATTAAGGGAGGGCAAGTTATAACTAGATAGCCCAGTCTTCTAGATAAGTAAGGGCACAAGGGAGCTTCTCAGGCCTGGGCCTGACTCCTTAAGAACAAAGGGAAAGGCAGTCTCACTGGCACAGAATTGGCAGTGTTTGTTCAGTGAATTAATTTTAACACTAAAATTCCAATTGATTGTTTCCCTTAAGTCTGCCCAACAGAAAAATGTCATTTATTTCTCTCAAAAATATACCTAAATTATCTCAAACATTATAACATCATAAAGCTTAAGGGCTGGGAATGAAGAGATAATGCGTACCATCCACCATCATCCACACAATGATAGATAAATATTTAAAAATTTATTAATGACAGAACCTTATTGAAAAACATATGTAATTGCCAAATCAACCCCTCACCCTGAAAAAGTAATATAAATGGTTTCTATTTACAATAAAATTGCTTTTAAGGATATTTTCCAATCTGTCCCATTCTATCCCAACCTCTCACTATAGAAATGAAAGCCTGCATTATTTTTGTGGCAGTAAAACATATTCCTTTCCGCTTGACCTGTACCCAATTCGCAGTGACCTGATGACTTGATTTAGTAGCAGTTGCTTATATTTGAAGACGGGTTTTTGCCCCAAGAAGTTGCACGCTAGAAAGTTCAAGTAAATTTGCTTACAAAGCTCATAAAAAGAGGTAAAAACATTTCATTTCTCATCATGACAAAGGAGAAGAAAGTCTGTGTAAAGATTGATTGTGATTTGTGAAGGGTTCAGTTTGTAAAAAATGGATCACTGTGGCAAAGTGTTTGACAAAGCACCCTGTAAAATACTTCGGTGTAGTAAAGCAAGCTTCTTCCCCCGCCCCCCTGATTCTAGGCAATTTTTGATCGGAACCGGAAAGATGAACTGCCTCGGTTGCAACTGGAGTGGATTGACAGCATCTGCATGCCTTTGTATCAGGTACTTTGATTTGGGAGGGCCTACATGTTCTGACTGAATCAGAAAAGGAAAAGTGTGTGCTTCTCAAAAGCACTCATTTTAGGAGACATTTCCAGGGTATGTACATTGCTGAGAGCTCTGGCTGCAGTTTGTCTTTTTTGAACTTCTGACTGTCCCCTGTCTGGGAAGAGTTGGTTCTAAGAGGCTGCAGACCTGCATTCTCCACCTTCTAGGACATAATCTCCATGAGCCTCCACTCCCTCATCTGTAAACCAGGGATAATAATATTTTATTTACTATCTCTCAAACTGTGTCCCATAGAACATGAACATCCAGCCATCATCTAATAACTATCTGTTCAACAAAAGCTCACAGGGCCAAGAAACATGTTTAAACTTGATCAACTCAATTTCTCAAACATATTTGACCATGGAATTTTTTTTAACAAATTTTCTTTATTAATATCATGTGAGAATAAGGATTCCAGGAAACTTAGTGTTCTGCTCTGACCCCACGGTCTGAGCGGGGGGGTTTTGTGACACACCTTCCAGCTTCAAAATCTGCCTGTCTGAGATGCATGCGGCAAATCCTCACCAGTGAATTTTGAGCGAGATGCACTAATGACTCCAGCTTTGCTACTTGGTGTGTAGGCCCCTCCTTCTGAAAGGAGAAAAGTGTCGCTTTGAATGGTTCACACTCCACGTTTTGAGTACGGATCAGGGCTGGCGTCAGTTAACACTAACAGTTTAGTGTACATTGGCTTTTAATTTTACTTCTAAGCATTTGCTTTCATTTGTAAAAACCTGGCAAGTTCTTTACCCCCAACCTAGCTCAATCAGAACTGAGCTGCTTGTCTAACTTCAAAGTGAGAAACATGCAGGGAAAGCAAAAGCTCTTTAGTTCCTCACCCTATGTAACCCTATTAAAAACACGGTATTGTTTTTTAAGGACCTCACAACCATCAAGTTCAAGATCATCTACCACTTCGTTTTCAGCACTTTTAGGAACTGCTGAGCCCTATCGCAGAACCCTGAAAACAAACAGACAAACTTAGAATACTGTCTTGAAGATGGATATGTAATTTTTAATAACTATAACAAAAATAAATTCATTTTTGTTGTATATTAGTCATTAAATACATGATACTATAAAGTCAGGTAAAGTTTTAAAATAATCTACAATTGCTTATTTTAGTTAAAAAAGGAACATAATGTTCTTTTATTTAATACTGAAAGATTGGGCAAACAAAATAGAAAATGATGTATACTTTAAGGGGATCCTCAACTCTCTTTTCTTCCTGTTGGCTCCTCCCATCCTCAGTGTCTCTGAATAAGCAGGCCCCCATATGCAAAGCCCAACAACTTTTGGGTCACTTATATCTTGCTTTGTGAAACTGACCTGAACTATACATGTTGAATTACTTTTTAATGTTATTCAGTTTTGTGTGCACACTTAGGCAATAAATGGGATGAAGAAATTATTCGTGCAATTACTACATTCCTTTTACTTTGGGTAAAGCTTAGGAGGATGAAGACATGTATTGGGGTGGGAAGCTGGTTAAGTTTTGGTACTAGTTTGCAAAGCTATTTTGGAGTGAACTCAAAGTCTACACACTCTTCCTATGTGATTGGTTATAGGAAAGGCTGTAAAGGATCCTCATATGGTTTTCCATGTTAATTTGCTTTATTACTAATTCACAATCCTTTAGGGCTTGTCTTATGCTTCCTATTTAATGCTTTGAAATCTTTAGGTTACAAAGGCAGTTATTTGAATTTAAGTGGAAATAGCAATTTCTAGAATTTAGGGAGTAATATTATCCCTTCACATTATATATCATCCTGATTTTTCACATCTGTTTTACTTTACTACTTATCTGTGGGTTAGAGACCTCTGCTATTTTCAGCTGCAGGAAATTAACATATAGAAAGATTAAGTGATGGTCCCACCAAATGAGAGTTGTGTCCTGCTCACCCCTGACCTTTGTTTTGGTGTAGTGACTTTTCTACTGCCCTTCTTCACCTCTGATGGAAATTTATTGCACCATTTTTTATTATTTAACTAACTGGGGAGAGATGTGTCATGCTGAAAGGGAATGTGGAAGGAGCTGTTTACAGAAGCTCATATTCATACTTGCTGCTGTATCTTTTCATTTAACAGGGGATGAAAATCTTGCTCTTTTTGATTCCTTATTATCACTAAGTAAAAAAAAATATCTCATTTCATTTGTAAGTTTTAAATACAAGGCTTTGAAACCAATCATTTTAAGAGCCATCAAACTGAAACTTTGTAGGGTAAGTTTAAGTATCCTCTCTGAGGGTCCTATTTTATTTCATCTTATGCAGTGTTCTCCCTTCCCTCCACTATTTAACTGGATAATCTCACATTAACTGTTGGTGCTTCTGAACTGAAATCAAATCAGTCAGTGGGCAGGAATCACCATTAGTGGGAAGACACAACATCTTGAGGAAGTGACAAGCCAAGAAGGTCACTGATGTGACACCATTCACTGAGATAACTCAGTGAAAGTCAAGTTTGGGGTTTTGAACATAAAAATGCAATAATAAGGAGTCTGAGAGGATCAAAGACAAGTGGGAAGTGTGCAGGTGGCAGGAATCCCTGATGTGATTGGTCTGACATACAGCATCATAAGAATTCAGCTTCGCTTTACCATGTTGGTCTAGGCATACGGCAAAAGGATACCAAGGAGTACACATGAGACAAAGCATGTCCCCTCTGACAACCAAGGCCTGACCCCAAGGTAGGGCAAGGTTGGATGGCAAGAACCTTCATGTAGAGCCCAAGGCAAGCACTCTCATAGAGAGAGCTGGGATCTTCCTGCTGGTGGAGAAGTTTGGAGAGTTGGAGTCTACAGAGGGTGGGAGTTGACCCAGGGCACCCCACGGCTGGAGGCTCCTGGGAACAGCAGTGGGACAGAACAGCGAGTTTGGCAGGGGCGAGCGGCCATGCAGCTGCACAGTAGATACACATATGGTTTGGGTACAGCTTTTTGACTTCATTGACTTTCACTGGGTAGTTCGGTTTTACTTTGTGCTTTTAAAAGGGTTGTGCTTGTCAAATATGAAATAAATAAAGCACTTTCTGCTTGTGCTCCTGTTTGCTGAGATTAGCTCTTCTCCAAGCAAAGGGTGAAGATTATCACTACTCTCAGGTGCCTGAAGGGCTACTTATTTATGTGCCTCGTTGGCAACCCACACCAGTATATTTCAGATGCCCAGTGCATTTAAAATCAAAACTCTTTTCTCTGAGATAGCTTCCAGTTCCACTCATTTTTTTTACTACATTGAGGGAAAACAATGAGGAACTCCCCCTCCTCCAAAATCTATTCACTAGGAAGTTATCTAAGTAATCTTGAGATTGACAGAAAGTGACAGACAGAAAATATATAAAAATATATAAATGAAACAGGAAAAAAAAAACGATGTGCAGGTCCTCTTTACCATATGTATTGTCAACAAGAGAGGCTGACTGGTTCTATCTCAAGTGGAAAAAGACAGCATGTCATTGTGGCATTGATTTAGCTCTCCCAACATGCCAGGTGGGTAGGACACACGCACAGAACAGTCCCAGATTGATGGATAGTTATCTAATAAGGATGTAGGCCAGGCTTCTATCCATATGTTTATATGTGAGCATAGAGTTCGCTGGAACTTGCTGTCTTTTTAATCTTCAGACTTTTCCTTAAAGAGAGAGAGAGAAGGAGAGAGAGAGAGAGATAAGGAGAGAGAGAGAGAGAAAAGAAAGAAAGAGAGAGAGAGAGATACAGAAAGAGGAAGAAAGAAAGAGAAAGAAAGAAAGAAAGAAAGAAAGAAAGAAAGAAAGAAAGAAAGAAAGAAAGAAAGAAAGAAAGAAAGAAAGAAAGAAAGAAAGAAAAGGATTGTAACAGGATGAAGTCGTGATTTATGGGTGACAGCCTTTTAATCACGAAGGCAAGAGTGGGCAGGGAACCATCAAAGCACATTTCCCCAAGAGAAGACTCAAGCCCTGGTTAGTTAGCTGTGTCCTAGCAGGGCATCTCGAAGGAATACATTGACATCTGATTCCTATGCGTTCTGCTGTCTTTGCACCCTGCTGGGGAACCATTAGCCCTGCTGCTCAACATCTTTGAAGGAAAAAAAAAAAAAGGAAGAAGGAAGAAAAAAAGACACAATCAAACTTTGTGTCATTGCCACACCAGCCTTAGGGATAAACAGAAACCCTCATGTCACAGTATCATTTTGAGCTTTTCTCTGCAATAGCAAGCTAAGTTCTGGCTCCTTATTTTCATTCTCAACTTAACCAAATCTCAGTGTACCTAGAATGTCAGAGGTGCAGAGTCATTATAAATCTTTTGTTTGTTAAGGACTGAGGGATTTAATTTTTATTATGAATACAATCCAATTTTTAACTCATCCCAAACTGGCTTTTGATTTTGGAGTGGATATTTTCTCACAGATAATGCAAAAGTACGTAACCTGGCCAGCATCTAGCCAGAATAATTTTCTCTTTCCATTAAGAGTAGGAAAATTTTGATAAGAGTAGTACCTCTTTATTAAAATGTCATGATGTTTCTGAAACAGGCAGGGCTTCTAATGTTAAGATTTACAGTAACCTTTGATTTTTTTCTCTGCCTTCACTTTTTTTTTTCTGAGATAGAATTTTGCTCTCATTGCCCAGGCTGGAGTGCAATGGCATGATCTCGCCTCACTGCAACTTCCGTCTCCCGGGTTCAAGCGATTCTCCTGCCTCAGCCTCCTGAGTAGCTGAGAATACAGGCATGCCCATGCCCGGCTAATTTTTTTGTATTTTTAGTAGAGGCAGGGTTTCACCATGTTGGCCAGGCTGGTCTTGAACTCCTGACCTCAAGTGATCTGCAGACCTCAGCCTCCCAAAGTGCTGGGATTACAGGCATGAGCCACCACGCCCAGCCTCTGCCTTCACTTTTAATGGTTATTTTGAAAAATACATTCCACGTGATGCAATATTAATAGGCTCTCTGGGAAAAAGGGAGAAAAAAACTTTAA